TGTGTGTACAGTAATGTGTGTACCTGGAAGGTGAGGTGGTGTGTCAGATCTTCCTCCACGTTCAGCAGCGCCTCCTGGTGGCCGCGGCCGTGAATGAGCTGTGTGTCTCTGTGACCCAGACTCCTCTTCTCCACATGAACCAGAACCGGATCCGGCAGGTGACTCCACATCATGAACAGAGGACTGAACACAACCTGAACACACACGCAACAGCTGTGTATGAGACGAACGTGTGTGTGTGTGTGTACTCACCACTCTCTGCTGCATGTGTGTGTTTGGCTCCAGCAGGATTCGTGTGCACCAGACATGCAGCAGGGATCCATTAGAACATGGCACCTGCACACGCGCACATACACACACACACACGCTGATGGTTCGGCCTGTAATCTGTAATTTCCTGTGCTTCAACACAGCAGCTGATGTTGCTCATTCAGTGAGTCTCTGGACAGGAAGTGCAGGGGTGGACACAGGAAGAACAAACTACCCATGGTCTCACAGCACAGTCCCATCAGACTCAGACGTGATGGGATGATCATGTGTATTAAAGCGCTGTTTGTTCCAGTTACGCTAACGATACCGCTGACGGAGGGTCATTCACTCTGATTACTGATGATTAATACATGCACCTGTTTACTGAACACTCATCGTTCTGCTGGTTAAATCAATACAGTCTGCTCACAGTGGGTCTCATTCACTAAGCATGCGTACGCACACATCTGTGCGTGAAACCTGCGTACGAACGTTTTCACAAACAAATCATGATTCACTAAAACATTCTAAATTTAAGAAAAAATATAGGAACAGCTGAAAGCACACGTAAAGCTCTGTAAACTGGGTTTGTATCAAAGGTGTTTTATTGTGTATGAACTGATTTGCTTTGCTCAAAGATCCGGCGAGAGCGCATCTGTAGACAGCGAGCATCATATGGGTTTGCGTGGAGTATCTGTGACGAGAGTAATGAAAGGCTGTAAAGGAAAGGTTGTTTGGAAAGCCCTTATATGGAGATGGTGTGGGCGTGTTTTATGCAAATGACTAAACTCATGCATGCAGCCGCTCATTTACAATACTCCAGATTCACTAGCATTAGGACGAGGTTAAGAACAAATTCATGTGCGTACGCACGTGTTGTGAATTAGGCAGAAAGTTTTTGTGAGAAGTTCAAATGTGCGTATAAATACAAGTGATGTTTTATAAACAAATTTCGGGAGGAGCACGCACAGATAATTAACACGGCCAGTTCATCGTTAGTGATTACACCATTTATCCAATCAGCGCAAGAGAAAACTCCTATAAATAAGCAAGTACGTCCTACCTTCGTTATCTCTCGACTTTCAGCATCCCTCCACCACCCCGACCCCGCACCTTCAGCATAGTTTCTACCCCAGCACGGGGAGAAGCACTCGGCGGGGGCGCTTTTTGGGCTGGGCTGGACACCGAGCTCGGACCCCTCTCCCCGGACGCCAGTTCATCATTAGTGATTACACCATTTATCCAATCAGCGCAAGAGAAAACTCCTATAAATAACCAAGGATGTCCAACCTTTGGTATTTCTCGACTTCAGCATCCCTCCACCCCCCCGACCCCGCACCTTCAGCATAGTTTCTACCCCAGCACGGGGAGAAGCACTCGGCGGGGGCGCTTTTTGGGCTGGGCTGGACACCGAGCTCGGACCCCTCTCCCCGGACAGCACGCCAAATATGCATAACCTTTATTTAATTACATGTAAGTGTGTGAGCGTTTGTGTGCTTGCGTGCGCGTGTGTGTGTGTGTGTGAGAGTGCGGTGTGTGTGAGAGTGCGGTGTGTGTGTGTGTGTGTGTGTGTGAGAGTGCGGTGTGTGTGAGAGTGCGGTGTGTGTGTGTGTGTGTGTGTGTGAGAGTGCGGTGTGTGTGAGAGTGCGGTGTGTGTGTGTGTGTGTGTGTGTGAGAGTGCGGTGTGTGTGAGAGTGCGGTGTGTGTGTGTGTGTGTGTGTGTGAGGAGTGTGTGTGCGCGAGTGCGGTGTGTGAGTGTTAGTGAGTGAGTGTGTGTGTGTGAGTGTTAGTGAGTGTGTGTGTGCGCGAGTGCGGTGAGTGTGTGTGTGTTAGTGTGTGTGTGCGGTGTGTGAGTGTTAGTGAGTGTGTGTGCGCGAGTGCAGTGTGTGTGTGAGCTTGCGTGTGTGTGTGTGTGTGTGAGAGAGAGAGTGTACTTGTTTCTGGACTCCTGTGAGCTGTTTGTCTCTGATGATGAGAGTGGCTGTCTGTGTTGGGTGGTACACAGTGTCAGCGTATGACTGACAACATCCATTAATTTTACTGGCCTGAGAGGCTGTATTTGCACATTTCTTTCTGATAAAATTTGTGATTGCAATAATTTATGTAATATAATATAAATATTATAAATATGATGATTGATAATGATTTTTGTTTTGTGTGTGTGTATATATATGAAATAGGATAAATGTAAACATTCAATATTATTTTTATTTCACAGAACAAGAGCAGTGTTAGAGTTCTGCTGAGTTCTGTTCTGCTGTTCATCACACATTAACCCTGTTTGTCAGACTGAGACTCATCTGGCAGCACTTGATCCACATATGAACAAAAACACTTAAACATCATCTCATGGTCATACAGAGACAGCAAAACCACACACACTCACTCACACACTCACACACAGTTACACACAGTTACACACAGTTACACACTCACACAGAGTATAACAACAAAACACACAGGAGAGACAGACAGGACATGACTAGCACTTACACAATGATAAAACACTGACACATTTGTGTTCATTAGATCCTGATTTTCAAAACAAACTGAAAAATACCCCCTTCGTTGCACGTGTGTGTATGTCTCTCTGTGTGTGTTCATGCTGAAGTGTTGGCAGTGTGAACTCTTGTTTATCGTTCATGAATCTGGAGTCTGACAGAGAGCCTGTTGGGTCAGAGTGAGATCACATCGACTCTGAACTCCTGAGCGCCGCTCAAACTGTAAAGTCAAACAAATTAGTGTGCGGGTCAAGGCGCGCGGTGACTGCGGTCAGGCTTGATCCTCGCGCTTTCCTGGCCGTTTGAAGGTGGATTCCGTTACGAAAACACGGCCAATCAAAGGCTGAAGTCAATTTGAGCAAATCTTCCTCCTCCAGAGGGCTGCCGAGTGGAAATGACATAATTTCTCAGATCTTTGCGCCGTATTACTCATCAGGAAGCGGCGGCCCGAGCGCCTCGACCTTCTTTATTTTTACAACAGCCCATTTTCTAGCGCCTGTGGCCGAGCGCGACCTTTGGGGAGAAGACATAACAGCGGCCCTCGCCTCACATCAAACACCCGCCGCACGTGTTCGAGTTCAGCCGCGAGACAAACGGCCAACTGGACACGCAAAACACACGCAAGAAACACTGCGACCTGAACGAAATGTCGACAAAATGATGTGCGTCAAACACGCCGACTGACACTAAACACATCTTCTGGAGGAACCGTGTGCTGATGCTATATTAGTGTTTTTGCTGCAACACTGGAGCATCGAACTGCATTAAAGTTGCTAACATTCACCGGCTTGACGTTTCTGAGCGCAGATATTCACACATAGCTGCATAATCACAGAAACCAGCGCAAACACACAGCTCTCACACACCCATCCACACCGGTGGCCGTAACTCAAACTGATCTCTGGAAAATTATGGATGTGTGATGCAGCTATAATTGCGATGGGCCGCCAGGGGCTCGTTCACAATTCAGTGACTCAACATGCTGTTGGCTGCGCATGACCTCATCACGGCCCGAAGGAGTTTGTCTCTGTGTCCAAACAGCTTGTGTGTGAAAGAGGCCCGAGGACGCGCTAAAACTGCAAGATTTATTCGTTATCTGTGTGTGAGCGTGTTTACTGTGACTGTAGTTAAGACCATCAACTGTGAGTGAGTGTGTGTGAGAGAGTGTGTGTTTTAGGGGTTTGGCAGCAGCTACCGTGATGAACCCCCCCCCCAGAGGAACAGACAGGAAGTCAAATATCCGCCCAAATTCCATCCAGATTGGTGCTAATGGACTCCATACTGAACGCGCCCCAGACAGCGTCCACAGCCCTGAAGTCATTCGCATGCCACACGAGTCCCAGCGGAGACGCGCCGCGCGGTGAACGCCCCCCC